CACACACACACACGCACACACACACGCACACACACACACACACACACACACACACACACACACATACACATACACATACATGCACACGCACGAGCATACACGGTGTTGACAAGCGCACCCACCGGTTTATCAACTCGGCTTGCTTTCTATCGACAGCTTTCACTCGCAGCTGTTTAGAAACGCGCCGTTTCGAAACCGAGAAGTCGCGAAGGCGGTGTGTGTGTATATGGAGAGGGGGGGGGGTAAGAAAGTCCGAGATAACCTATTGCACCTACTTTAAATAAGTGTAGCCGTGTAACATTTATTAAACAAAAAACCTTTTTTTGGCAATCTAACGGAGTTTCTTGAGTAATTCTGACATCGTCGATAAAATAGCGTCATGCGGAAAATGAAATATATAAAGCACAAGCAAGTAAAGATTACAGCCTAGAGTGTGTCTATGCCAGACAATGGTCGTGTGGCATGAGTCATACAAACAGTGTTTTGCGTTACGACGTTCACAGAAGGGTTTCAAACCACCATTATTTTCATTTTTGCTCGTTTCACGTGTACGCTGTCAATTCGCGGCTACTGCAACACTTTACAAAACCCTGTATTTATGTTACTACGCCCCGCTTTGTGCACACGTCACCCCTCCTCTAGCCTTCACATCATACTGCACTATTCTCTATCTACGTGACTCCGCTCACCACGTATCTACGTCACTCCAACCCTACGCTGCATCTAACCCACGTACCCACATTTACTCATATGTGACATTGTATCTACGTCACCCCACGCTACCATGTATCAATGGTACTCTAGACCCATGTTATTCTATAGCAACGTCACCTTCAATAGACTATTAAGTAAAGAAGACTTCCTTTACACCACCCCTCATCCCTGGATCCTCACCCCTTACACTCTCTGGACGTTATCTTCACCCTGTTCTGCATACCCACGCTACCCTGTATAGATAGATGTTAGCCCACGCTATCCCGCGTACACTTCTCGGCCTCTGCTCCTGTACAGATTTGTGGAGCTGTCTACGTACCCAGGGGAGGAATCCATACGCCAAACAGGTGCTGGTGACGACGTTGCTGAACCATGGCGATAAACTGTAGCCAACTAACGCAAAGTTCCTGGAACTCATTGATCTACATGCGCATGCGTCGGCTCCCTCTGCCGACGCCATCTTAGCACTCGCATTTCGGGTAAACGTGATCAAAGGCACCTGACAATAACAGTCGATTAGCTGCCGGCGACGAACAAGCAACAGCAGCAGCAGCGGCAGCGTCGGCAGCAGCGGAGGAAGCTAGTTTTGTCTAAATAATTAGCAGCGGCTCTCGCTCGATACGGCGAAGCGACGTCGCCGCCATGCGCTAACATCGGGTGGGAGATTAATAATCGCGCTGCCCATTACGGCATCGCGATGTGGCGGCGTGAAAAGAAGCCCTGCGTCCGTCGTTCTGCGAGGCCTGGCGAGAAAAAAATGCGCCGGCGTTCGCGCTGTGCCGATGCTTTTAGCGCAAATCGGCAGGAATCGTGCGAGCGTGGAGAAATGCATTCCGCCCAAGTCCCCCCGCGACGAGCGGCGAGCGCGGTGGGAGCAAAGAAACGGTCAATGAAAAAATGAAAACTCGTAGATAGGCGGTGATGAGGCGGAGGAGGAGGAAGAGAACGATTGGGATAGCTAATGTGATTAGGTTATGCTAATGAGAGGCGGCTCACTCAATAAAGATGCGAAGGAGTTTTCGTTATTGCTGTCGCGACGGAAATTACACACACACGCGCGCGCGCACCCACGCACGCACACACGCACGCACGCACGCACATCGTGTGTGCGCGTGTGCGTGTGCGTGTATGTGCGTGTGCGTGTATGTATGTATGTGTGTGTGTGTGTGTGTGTGTGTGTGTGTGTGTGTGTGTGTGTGTGTTGTGTGTGTGTGTGTGTGTGTGTGTGTGTGTGTGTGTGTGTGTGTGTGTGTGTGTGTGTGTGTGTGTCGTGTGTCGTAGTCGTGTGTGTGTGTGTGTGTGTGTGT